TAGGATCTGTTTCTCCTTTAATTTCTGCAGTGTTGACAATTGAGCCTTATGTTTAGGCAAACACTACCACTGGGCTACACTGCACCCCTCCCTGCCTCAGTGTTGCCCACTATGAACCTGACTTGTCATATGGTGCTCATGATGACATCATTTTTCTCTTTGAAGAGTTTATTGATTTTCTGATATTTCATTTTGTTTTTGAGATAGGCTTTCTCTGTATAGCTTTGGAGCTTGTCCTGGAACTCACTCTGTAGACCAGGCTGGCCTTGAACTCACAGAGATCCGACTGCCTTTGCCTCCCTAGTGCTGGGATTAAAGGTGTGTGCCACCACCGCCTAGTAAGTTTATTGGTTTTCTTAAAGTTGATACATGCTTACAGGAAAAAAAATCAAAAATATAGAAAAGCCTATCTTGAAAAACTAAAAAAAAGTCTAAAAGTAAAATTCAAAATTTATATTACCAGGACATAACCATAATTAGTATGTTTCTCAAATATCCCCCTTTGCATAGATAGAGAGAAACATTTATTTTAAAAGTTCATATAAAGCCTTGACGTGACTCAGCTGGTAAAGGTGCCTGCCCTCAAGCATGATGGACGACCTGGCTTCAATCCCTGGGACCTACCTATGTGGTAGGTGAGAATTGGCTCCTGCAAATTATCCTCTGCCCTTCACACGCGTACTGTGCCGGTCATGACCTGTGCCATTCGTGACCCCCCAAATAAGCAAGTAAAAAGTTCGCGTAATGCATGCTAAATTTATTAGTGTTTAAGGCATTTGTGCCTGTGGGTGGGTGCATGGCTGGATATGGAGGTCAGAGGACAACCTTTGGGATCAATTATCTCTTTCTACCACGTGGTTCTCTGGGATCCAATTCCGGTCATCAGGAGTGGAGGTAGGAGGAAGGCATCTTTATCCACTAAGCTATCTCAGCCCAAATTGTTACTAAATTTAAGGAAGAAAATGAAGTAGGAACACAATGAAGGAGTTGCCAAACTTCAGTTAAATGTTCTTTGCAAAGACATATTAGTTCCTATAGCTTCCTTTGAAGTGTTGCACAAAGATTATAAAAAAGCATCAGGGCTAAGGGTCTGCCTTCATGATTAGCTCTTGAAAAGTCATGCCCTTAATCCGAGCACTTGGGGAGCAAAGGCTGGCAGATGTTTGTGAGTTTGCGGCCAGATTGGTCTATATAGTGAGTTCCAGGCCAACCAGGGCCACACACACAAAGCAAAGCGAGAGCGAGAGCGAGATGGGGATGGGTGGTAGGGGTGGGGGAGATTAAAAAGCTGGAAGGTAGTGTGGGGAGAATATATATTTCCCAGAAAATGGCCTTATGTAGTCCTGTATAATATAAAAAATCATCTTAAGTAACTGAGACAAGAGTAGAAACAGCTTTCATTGTCGACATGCAGCTTTTATTGGATACTAGAACTGCTTCATATTCAGAAGAAAACCACAATATTTGTGTGTCTTTATTAGCTGTCAGAGGCTTGAGAGGACCCTTCATTGAATGCTTTATTCCTTTTCCTGCTGTGTATGGGGAAGGTTCTCCTTAGAAAACAAGCTTCGACAACAGACTGTCTGGATTTGATACCTTAGAGAGCTCAGGAACTACTCAGTCAGATCAAGCCCTCAACTTCTCCTCAGGAAAAAGTCACTAGTGTCTTCCTTACCTGATTATTGAGAGAAATATGGCCAGGCAGTGGTGGCATAAATCCTTAATCCCAGCACTCATGAGACAGAGGCAGGCAGGTGGCTGTGAATTCCCGAACAGCTAGGGCTATTCTCAGTCTTCAAAAAACCAGGGCGGGGAAGGGGAAGAAATATGCAGGACAACGTATCAATATATAGACAGTTCTTGTGATGGTGGTTGACAAAGTGTTTATTACATGTAAGTTATTATAATACAGTGGAATAACAGTACATGTGTGGAGGTCGGAGAACACCCTGGGGGAGTCAGTTCTCTTCATGTGGGTCCTTGGGGTGCAACTCAGGTGGACAGGCTTGGAGGCAAGCACCTCCACCCACCGAGCTACCTTGCTAGTCCTAGACATCAATTCTGACCTAAGCAGTTCATCTGGTTTGCATATGGTATTTTGGCCAATTAATTAATTTCGGATTTAGGATAGAGCACAGTAGCAGAATACCTGCTTATCATGGGTGAGACCCTGGTCTCAATCCCCAGTACTAAAACCAGACCAAACCCTTTCATTGATTTCCTGAAGAGGTAGCCCAGGCTGGATTCAAACTCTCCAACTCCCCAGCCTCCACCCCCAGAGTCCTGTGATTAGAGGTGTGCAGAACCACACCTGGCTGGCAACTTGATTAATGCATCTGTGTGCACATGTTTCTGTATGTATGTGTGTGTACACAGGTGTGGAGGTCAGAGGTCAATGTCAGATGGCTTCCTCAATTGCTCTCTACTTCATTTTGAGATGGGTTCTACCACCAAGTCTAAAGCTTGCAGATTTGGCTGGTCATTAAGTCCCAGATAGCCTCACGTTTCTGCCTGTGTAGTGCTGGGATTATAGGGGTTGGGGGTCAAACTCAGGTCTACACTTTAGTGACTGAGCTATCTCCCCAGCTGCTGTAATTTGATCATTTCAAATGACAGCTTAGTTTGTCCATCAATGAAGGCAATACAGGTAATAGATAAGATGTACTCATTTAAAACTGTGTATTTTAATCCTGCTGTTTTAAAAATGCTTCTAAGTCTTCCACTAAACACTAGGTACTACAGCATGGATGAACTATACTATATGTGAACAACAGGTTAAAATTACTTAAATTTAAATAGGGTTCTGAAACCATACATTATGTTCATCTGTCTTCTGGTCAGAGTAGTTCATAGCATACAAATGCAGCAAAATGTTGACCTAATGATACCATCATTTCAATTTGCCATGAGTCTCCTAACAGTGTCTCACCTGAGATCTCTAGAGCGGCGGTCTAAATTCTTTGATTGGCCTAAAATGTGTCTTTTACCATTTCATTTACCTACCAGATATGAACACACCCATATATTCTTTCTAACCACAGCCTAGAGTTTGAAATTTGTTTTCTGCCCAAAGCCTTTGTTGTATCTTTTTAAGGGTGTGTGTGTGTGTGTGTGTGCGCGCGCGCGCGCGTTTGTAACAGGATTTGACCTGTAACTATCACTGAGAATTTTCTTAGAGAAGTTCAAAGCATTTTACAGGGATCATCTCATTTATCCTTCGAAAGTAAAGCAGAGGCATTTATATCCGCACGGACTGAGAACACTAAAAGGCCAAGAGAGGCGGGGTTTTGTTGTTGTTTTGCTAAGATCAAAAAGTAATTCTAGGGCAAAGCCAGATTCTGGTCTGACCTTGTTACTTGATGCTTCTGCAGCTCTGTAGCTCCACGCAGGGGCTTTGCTTGTTCTCCCCTTGGCTATGCCAGGCTTTGAATGATTCTCAGAATTAATGTCTCATCTGTTCCTGCTCCTTAAAAATGGCTGTTAAGATGTCAGCACAAAAGAAAACTCTCCAATCATTCTTGGATTGCTTGGGCTGTTTCCAAGAGAGAATCTTCCTAGGGACCTTTGGCTGGCATGGAATTTGCCGTGTAGACCAGGCTGGCATTGAAACGATGTTTTCACTGCCTCCCGAAGTGCTGTCATTACAGGTGTGTGCCACCACACCTCGTCTCCTACAGATTTCAGGAAGAGAAACACTCTGCTTTCTTTGTTCGTCCTGTTTTTGGTCTCCATCTGTAGTCCTGGCTGGCCTGAGCTCACAGAGATCTGCCTGTCTCTGGCTCCCCAGTGCTGGGATTATAAGCATGCTCCACCAAGGCTGGCTCGTCCAACTCTTGCTATGTAGCCCAGTGCTGTCTAACAGAAATAACACGAACCACAATTATAAGTCACACATATCTTGAATTTTCTAACAAGTACACTAAATATACTGAATTCATTCCAGTATGTCTAAGTTACTAACAATTACTATGTCGTATACAATTATGTAAGGTATTTTTTTAAGACTTTTTTATTTATTAAGTATACAGTGTTCTGTCTGCATGTATGTCTGCAGGTCAGATCAGAAAAGAGTACCAGATCTCATTACAGATGGTTGTGAGCCACCATGTGGTTGCTGGGAATAAAACTCTGAACTTCTGAAAGAGCAGCCAGCTCTCTTAACCATTGAGCCATCTCTCCAGCCCGGTATTTCATTCCCTTTCTCGTCTAGCTTTTCAAAAGCAGCTGTGTGTTTGGCTTTTTCTTATAGCACACTTGAATCTGGAGAAACTGCCTTTCACACACACAGATGTCACCTGTGATTAAAGTAGACCAACTCAGACCATGTTGGATAGCACGGGTCTATCCTTTGGAAAGTTTAAGATTGGTTCAGGTGAACCCAGTGGAGGTAATCTTGGAGAATCAACTTGCCCTATGTAATGACTGCTGAAGAGCCCTAGGTCAGCTATGGTCTGATGCGCTGCTTGGCTTGGGAGCTGTGGACTCAGGATCTAGTCAGTTGCTTTTCCCTCCCCAGGTATTGTCTTACTTATTACTGGTACACTGGTTCATATCAAGTGAGGAATGTTCCAACTTTTGGGTTGCAGTTTTATGAGAATCTGGTTTATGGCTTGTGGAAGGAAGGCATCACCTTGGGATGAGGAATGCTCCCAGAACCAAAAGGCCAAGCAAGTGCCTGTTGAGGGCAGAGGTTCCACCTAGATGGTTCCTGAAGCCACAGGTGCCTCTTGTGGCCTAGGATGGGGACTTTCTGTAAACTTGTCAATAACCCCCCCCTTTTTTTTTTTAAATTTGGACAGGATCTTTCTCTGTAGGCCAGGTGGGCCTTGAACTCATGGCCATCCTCCTGCCTTAGCCTCAGGGATTACAGACAAGCCACCAAGCTTGGTTCCTCGTTAGTCTTGAAGACATGTGCTTCAACTAGATGTTCCTGGTGCTCCAGAAGACGGGAATGTCAGCTCCCGAGTTGGGGTTCGCACCCCGAAATGCAGGCGTGAGGGGCGGGGGCCTGGGCCCGCGCCGCCCCATGTGACCCGGTCAGACATGGTGTCGCCTCCTCTCGAGGAGGCAGCGGCGTCTTCGGCTCCGCTGCGCGTCGAGCCGGCCCTGCGGCCGCTCATGGGCAGCCAGGGCCGCTCGGGTTCCCCCGGGAACCGCGGGCCCAGGGAAAGCGAGGGCGGGGAGGCGAGGGTCGCACGGGGAAAGCGAGGAAAGAGGAAGGGGAAAGCGGGCACCGGGCACGGCGGAAGAGGAAGCGGGGCGGAAGGGAAGCCGGGCCTGCAGCCGGCGAGGAAGACAGCGGGGCCGGGGGCTGAGGCGGGCCCGGGGCAGGAAGGAGAGGAGGGCGCAGGCGTGGAGGAAGGACCGAGAAGCTCCGGGAAGCGGGATGAGGGGAGCGCAGGCCCAGGGAAGGAGGAGGAACGGAGGCTCGGGGCCGAGCGGCGGGAGGACGGCAGCCTGGAGAGAGCACGGGAGCGTGGGTGTCAGGCGTGGGGCGGCATCCCGGGGACCCGGACGGCCATGGCGGCGGCCGGCGACGAGGAGGCGACGGCGGCGGCTGCGGAGCCGTCCTGTCGTCCGGCCGCGGGGCCCGCGTTCTGGCGCCTGCCGGAGGAGCTGCTGCTGCTCATCTGCTCCTACCTCGACATGCGGGCCCTCGGCCGCCTGGCTCAGGTGTGCCGCTGGCTGCGGCGCTTCACCAGCTGCGACCTGCTCTGGCGCCGGATAGCCCGGGCCTCGCTCAACTCCGGCTTCACGCGGCTCGGCACCGACCTGTAAGCGCCCGCTCGCCCGCCCGTTCCCCGCTCCGGGCCGGCCAGCGTCCTGGGAAAGGGCGGGGCGCCGAGGCCTAGTCGGCTCGGGGCCGTGTGGCACCCGGAAAACCGAAACCCAGATTCACCCCCACTCCCTGTGCCCCAGATCCCTCCCCAGCACCCTCGGGGAATCCCGGTGTCAACCCCCCAACCCGAGGAAGTTTCGGGAGAGCATCCCTCAGCGCCCTCCCCTGTGGGCGGCTACTCACAATCAGCCAGCCTAAAATACTCTTGAGCCCTCGTGAGTTGTGGCTTTTCCTAAATTTTTGACTCTGGGTTCATCAGCCCAGAACAACTAGGTTGGTCTGCGTCTTGTGCTTCAGGCCCTTGAAGGACGTCGCCTGCTGGTTCCAGGACCCAGGCCCACTAGGTGGTCTTTCAACGTGTTTCTGTGGCCTTTTATCCTGTCCTCTCTCTCAGAGGTTGTTAGGCTTCAGGGCTCTGATAGTCAAATATACAGAAAAGGCTCCAGAGCCTGTAAAAAAAGAGCTTTTAGTCCCATTGTCAGCATATTTTAGGACTTGATTCAGGCAGAGGGACCCGCAAAAGATGTCTGCTTGAGGCAACAAGTTGGATTTGGTATAGGCTGTATTCAAGATACTGAAGTTGGGGTCATGTCTGAGACCCGTGAATGCAAAACATCCCGAAACATTAGGTTGTTGAACAGGAAGGGGAGAACAGGGTCACAGAACTCGTGAGGATAAAATCTTTCAGATTGCAGCCCGCCCTTGCTCAGTTGTAATACGGGAGAATAACAAAAGTTCTTTTTTAAGCATGAGAAGTCATCATCTCTACACAACTATTTTCATTTTAAATGTTTTTCAGATGCACACCCCCTTAATTGCCCAACCTGCACTTGCTCCCTTACCCACCCTCCCAGGAGGGCTAAGTGAATAATGTAATGGGTTTTGAGGTATGTCACGTGTCTCCAATTAGTTCCTTAGAATAAAAATCTCCAGCTAGGCATTATTGGACAAAGGTTTTGATATGCAGAGGTATTGGACCAAGTCGCAGTATACCAGCAAAGAATGAGTGAGCACATTTGATGTGAGAATTTAAACAAAAACAAACCGTTGCTGCTTTTGCGGGCGAGTGAGAGTGGGCCAAAGCCGCGCCATTGTGTCTCTCTCTCTCATCACTGGCCAGGGTAACTATTTTGCCACGTGTCTGTTTCACCTGTGGCAGTCGTCTCTTCCTACTGTTTGTTACTGGGCTCTTGGTGTTTTTGTTATAAATTTGGAATTTTTTCTGGGTCATAAATATTTGACTCTCGTCTATCATCTTTGATAGAGATATGTTTTCCAGTTGATTTTTTATTCTGTTGTTTTTATTAGTTTTTATACTTCATTAGAATCTGACAGTCTTGTAATTTTTTTCTCCTTCCCCTTAACCTGATAAATTTCTAATTCTTTCACAGACCTGACAAACTTAATTGCCAACTGATTTGCTTATAACTTGATTTTTTTTTTAAATGGCATTTTCATCAGTAACACTTGTTTTGGTACAAGGAGAGAAATTCTCTTACTGTATTTTTCTCTAAAGAGCTCGAAATTGCTATACCTTTTCTTAAGCTTCTCTTTCTCTTTGGGAGGGAGAGAGGCTTACAGGGCTGTATGTTAAGTGTGAACACACACACATATACACATGTTTGTATATTCAGTTTGTATCTGAACTCTCCCTTTTTATCTACTGGTGTTATCTTCCCATTTCTATAACATTTTAAATATGCTGCTCTGTGAAAGAGTGTAATATCTGCTAGGGTTCTGTGATCCTTGCTGGGTGAAGTGTCAGGGTCACTGTTCCACTTCTGCTCAGTTCATGACCAAAACCTCCTATGCCTTTTCAAACATTCTGTGCTTCTCACTATAATTCTAACATTTACTTATAATTTCTTACTGATTTGTTTCTGTGTTTATTGTAGATGCACTCTTTTTTCTCCATGCCCTCTAGTGTAGTATTACACATTCATAAAATTTCATCTGATTGTCTGGTACTCAGCTATTCTGGTACGATTTGTTGATGATGATGGTTTCTTGGGATTTTAGGTGTGTGTACAGTCTGTAAACATGAGTATTTCATCCCCCACTTTTTATCTGAATAACCTTTTTAAACCAAAGAGAAAAGAATCAGAATTGTATATATTTCAATCTCCGGTAATCTGTAGTAAAGTTTACTTGTAAATATTTTAATGTGTTTTTCTCTCTTTTTATTGGCATGTGTTCATTGTGTATATTTCAGGATTTCAGAAAGACATTTTCTTTCATATATATATTATGTACTCTGACAGAGTAACTCGTTGAAGGAATATTGACCTATGATAGAAGTTGTCCAAAATGACCAGCATTACAGCCAACCAAAGCAAAGTTTGGCTTTCTCTTACTCTGGGGAGTGAATGAGTCTGTTTATTTTTGTTTTCTTTTCTGATGTTCTAAGAGAGACTGAGAACGATAACAAAATGAAAATGAACTTACAGTAAAAAGTGTTTAGGGTCTGCAAAATGATATTTATTATGGCCTTACTATATTGGGTATGTTCATTTTAATTTTGTGTGTGTGTGTCCTAGCATGAAGCATTGTCCTTCCAGAGAGGTTGTTTTGCTGTGGCACTTGATAAAGAGCAGGGTCACTGCTCTGGTTTTTGGGTTGAGAGGAGAAATGATGCCTGTTCTAGCAGGTGGAGAGCATTTACCAGGGTGACCTGTTTCTGGACAGCTGCAGAGACTTAATAAACCACTGAGAGGTAGTTGTCATCCCTGAATAGATAAGGCATGTACCCCAATTCGCTGAAAGGTCAGGGTGCCTGCTCCCCAAGTGCAGATGATCGTTCCCTGCATAATGTCGGCTGTTGGTAGTCATGCTTTGGACTGATTGACTGCGGACTGGATAAGAAGTACATCTGTAAGCGCCGCACAAAACTTGACTTTCTCAGAAGGCATATGGTCTCTCTGGCTCTGAGTTTTAGCTCCTTAAAGACTAGGAATAACATTGTTCAGTAAAATGGGTCCTAACCAGCCATGATTGTGTTCAGTACTAGAAAACCTTCCCTAAGTTGTTGTAAAAGAACTTTTTCAATTGCTTGCCTTTCCCTTTATGCTGCAGATGTCAGAAGTGGGCATGGTTTGATTTGGAAGTGCTGCCTAATGATAGGAAACACACACACAAACACACAGATAACATCCAGGTTCTCTCATCTGTCCTGAATGTTTTCACAAACATGACAGCACAACCCGTGGCTTAGGGACTGCACTTGCTGCTTAAGGGCCTTCTGATTTTCAGAAACACTAACTGCTAAGGTTTACTGACCTTCCGGCCCAGGGCAAGCCCTGTTCCGTTTAGCTCTTCCTAACTGATCATAGCTTTGTTGAGTAAGATGAACTGCTTGGGTTCCTTGTCATTTGTTAATGGTCTTATTCTTGTGCTTGAAGGCATTTGAGCCACTTAAAAACCACAAACAAATAATTTGCTTCCCTTTAGGCCTCTTGCCCAGTCAACACTAAGAAGTATTCTAAGTGGGACTTCCCCCACCCCCGTTTTTTTAGGAAACAGAAAGTAGTTTGAATTAGTCATCTGATTTCAAATTAGTTTTATTTGAAAGCTTTATGAAGCCTAGGGAAATAGAAATATCTTGGTTATAATCGTAAAAATATAGGCAGTGTTTTATACAGAGATTTTTGAATAAAGAATGGGGTGGGCACTCAACCAATTCAGTGTGTAAGAACACAGCAGTAGACTCCACCAGGTCTGTCATATATGATGCCTGCTGTGTGCAAGAAGCACATGATGGGGGAGGAGCAGAGGTACTGTGTAAATTCAGATATGGGTAATTAGTGGGAGCAAAGGAAGGGGAAATCTGCACAGAGACCTGTTTAGATGATACTTCAATTTCTATGTTTGAGAAAGCTTACTTGACCCCTTCTTTATTTCAGTGTTTCATATTTTCAAATGGGAATTTCCCATGGGCAGTTCCGTGGGTGCTCTTCCATTAGCCCGGGATAGATTTGCCTGGAATTAACAATAGGAGTGTCAGGAGGAGAGCCTCTGAGGTGTTTGCCCTGGCATGCAGACTCATTCCTTTGACAGTCCTGCAGCCTTGGAGCTCTTTGAGGCTGGGGGCTGAGGATATCTATTTCAGTGAGGATCACCGTCCAGAGTGGGGAGATAGACGCAGATAAGCAGAGTGTGTTTGTTTGTTTTAAAATGATTGCACCTAAGAGCCCCCTCCCCCCAGGAAGAGAAAGCATGAAGTTTCCTTCCCTAACTGAATGGAGAGGGCATTGCTGACTGTAAGGCCTAAACTCTGATTTTTAGGAGACAATTAGCAACTCGAAATTGTCCTCGACTTTCTTCTTGCCCTTTCTGCCTTACCTGTGAGGAGTCACCTCTCCTTAGCTGCTCAGAGGTTTCCTGGAGGGATATGTTGTTATCTTAGTTGTTTGGAAAGGCCTTTTGAAAAAATTATTTTATTTTAAAATATGGTATGTATGGGTGTGTGCACATGCATGTAGTTGCCTGGGGAGGTCAGAGAACTGGATCCCTGGTGCCAGAGGGTGCTGAGACTAAAGCCAGGTCCTCTTTAAGAGCTGTATGTGCTCTTAACCACTGAGCCATCTCTCCAGCCCCAGGCCTTATTTATTTATTGATGGTTTCTGAGTTAATAAAAGGAGGGTTCAGTTTACATGTTCACAGTAAATGCACCTGCAGAAGCAGGAAATGGTCTGGTGCAAGGCCTGTCTTCAGAGGAGGCCTCCTTCAAGGCTGCAGGGCTGAGGTAGTCCCTGAATTCCACCATAGGGCCGTCTCTAACTCTCAGGGCAGAGTCACAAAGAAAGCAGACTTCACCGGCTGCAGTGTGAGTGCATTTAGAGATCTAGATCCTTCACCCAAGTCAAGTTTGGGTTGAGCTTCTCAAAGATTACTGAGGAAGCATACAGGTTTTTAAATAATTATTTTTGAATTCTTGAC